TCCACGCAGATTCCTGGGCACGGACCTCCTCTGGGTGCCCTGGCTGACAGCCAGTCAGCTTGCTGGGGGGGGGCAAGACCCCAAGCCAAACATGCTGGGGTTTGTAGTAATCCAGGGATAGCCCCTTGAAACTGACCCATTAGGTGGGTGCTCCCTGGCACCCTAATCTCAGAGAGAGCCCTGGCATGGGTACCCTATGCTGGGTGTCCCTTAGGAGCCTTTTAGCTCAGGCTGGCATGGACAAAGTTCTAGGTACCTTTGGCACCATGAGTGTGGAGGACACTTGTCAGGAAAGCTCTGCCGGAATCTTCCAGGTTTTCCTGAAATTTCCAGCCCCCACCCAGCCAGGCTGCATCAGGAGACACATGGACAGAGACGGCCTCACCCAAGGGAATCGGGGTGTGACACCTGGCAGGGTCCTAGCCTAGCGCTGGGTTCTAGTCCCACCTCGATCGCTGACCAGGTCAGCCGCTTTGAAGAAATCGCTTCCCCTCTGTCCTGTCCATTTAGAGTGTCAGCAATCCTCCTGGGCAGCCTTTTACTCGGAGGATACTGCACTGCAAAGCCAAGTTGGGTTCAGAACTCGGGTTCACTAACTTGAGTTAAAAGAGCAGTGTAGACACGGCAACCTGGGTTAGCCACTCGGTGGGGATCTGGTCTCTGTGCGCGTACGGCTCCTAGCACGGTGGGGATCTGATCTCTGTGTGCGTACGGCTCCTAACGCGGTGGGGATCTGATCTCTGTGCGGGTACGTCTCCTAGCGCGGTGGGGATCCGATCTCTGTGCGCGTAAGGCTCCTAGCGCGGTGGGGATCTGATCTCTGTGCGCGTACGGCTCCTAGCGCAGTGGGGATCTGATCTTTCTGCGGGTACGTCTCCTAGCGCGGTGGGGATCCGATCTCTGTGCGCGTACGGCTCCTAGCGCGGTGGGGATCTGATCTCTGTGCGCGTACGTCTCCTAGCGCGGTGGGGATCTGATCTCTGTGCGGGTACGTCTCCTAGCGCGGTGGGGATCTGATCTCTGTGCGGGTACGTCTCCTAGCGCGGTGGGGATCTGATCTCTGTGCGCGTACGTCTCCTAGCGCGGTGGGGATCTGATCTCTGTGCGCGTACGGCTCCTAGCACGGTGGGGATCCGATCCCTGTGAGCGTACGGCTCCTAGCGCGGTGGGGATCTGATCTCTGTGCGCGTACGTCTCCTAGCGCGGTGGGGATCCGATCTCTGTGCGCGTACGGCTCCTAACGCGGTGGGGATCCGATCTCTGTGCGCGTACGTCTCCTAGCGCGGTGGGGATCCGATCTCTGTGCGCGTACGGCTCCTAGCGCGGTGGGGATCCGATCTCTGTGCGCGTACGGCTCCTAACGCGGTGGGATCTGATCTCTGTGCGCGTACGGCTCCTCGCGCGGTGGGGATCTGATCTCTGTGCCTACGTCCTAACCGGTGGGATCTGATCACTGTGCGCTACGGCTCCTAGCGCGTGGGGATCCGATCTCTGTGCCTATGGCTCCTAACACGGTGGGGATCTGATCTCTGTGCGCTACGCCCTAACGCGGTGGGGATCTGATCACTGTGCGCTACGCTCCTAGCGCTGGGGATCCGATCTCTGTGCGCGTACGGCTCCTAGCGCGGTGGGGATCCGATCTCTGTGCGCGTACGGCTCCTAGCGCGGTGGGGATCTGATCTCTGTGCGCGTACGTCTCCTAGCGCGGTGGGGATCTGATCTCTGTGCGCGTACGGCTCCTAGCGCGGTGGGGATCCGATCTCTGTGCGCGTACGGCTCCTAGCGCGGTGGGGATCTGATCTCTGTGCGCGTACGGCTCCTAGCGTGGTGGGGATCTGATCTCTGTGCGCGTACGGCTCCTAGCGCGGTGGGGATCTGATCTCTGTGCGCGTACGGCTCCTAACGCGGTGGGATCTGATCTCTGTGCGCGTACGGCTCCTCGCGCGGTGGGGATCTGATCTCTGTGCGCATACGGCTCCTAACGCGGTGGGGATCTGATCACTGTGCGCGTACGGCTCCTAGCGCGGTGGGGATCCGATCTCTGTGCGCGTATGGCTCCTAACGCGGTGGGGATCTGATCTCTGTGCGCGTACGGCTCCTAACGCGGTGGGGATCTGATCACTGTGCGCGTACGGCTCCTAGCGCGGTGGGGATCTGATCTCTGTGCGCGTACGGCTCCTAGCGCGGTGGGGATCCGATCTCTGTGCGCGTACGGCTCCTAACGCGGTGGGGATCTGATCTCTGTGCGGGTACGGCTCCTAGCATGGTGGGGATCCATCTCTGTGCGCTACGGCTTCTAGCGTGGTGGGGATCTGATCTCTGTGCGCGTACGGCTCCTAACGCGGTGGGGATCTGATCACTGTGCGTGTACGGCTCCTAACGCGGTGGGGATCTGATCTCTGTGCGGGTACGGCTCCTAGCGTGGTGGGGATCCGATCTCTGTGCGCGTACGGCTCCTAACGCGGTGGGGATCTGATCTCTGTGCGTGTACGGCTCCTAGCGTGGTGGGGATCCGATCTCTGTGCGCGTACGGCTCCTAGCGCGGTGGGGATCTGATCTCTGTGTGTGTGTACGGCTACTAGCGCGGTGGGGATCTGATCTCTGTGCGCGTACGGCTCCTAACGCGGTGGGGATCTGGTCTCTGTGCGCGTACGGCTCCTAGCGCGGTGGGGATCTGATCTCTGTGCGTGTACGGCTCCTAGCGTGGTGGGGATCTGATCTCTGTGCGCGTGTACGGCTCCTAGCGTGGTGGGGATCTGATCTCTGTGCGCGTACGGCTCCTAACGCGGTGGGGATCTGGTCTCTGTGCGCGTACGGCTCCTAGCGCGGTGGGGATCTGATCTCTGTGCGTGTACGGCTCCTAGCGTGGTGGGGATCTGATCTCTGTGCGCGTGTACGGCTCCTAGCGTGGTGGGGATCTGATCTCTGTGTGTGTGTACGGCTCCTAGTGCGGTGGGGATCTGATCTCTGCGCGTGTACGGCTCCTAGCTCGGTGGGGATCTGATCTCTGTGCGGGTACGGCTCCTAGCGCGGTGGGGATCTGGTCTCTGTCAGGGTCTCTAGGTGCTACTGTAAGTTAAGTAATATTTTTTTTAGTTCATCGGCCACTTACTGAGGTGACGCTTGCAAAAGGGCCTCTGCCTTCCAAGCTGGCACCGTTGCCAGAGTCAGCGAGGGCCGGCACGGCCGTGGGTGCTGCTGGCATCTGGGGGTGGACTTGAAGCTGGCAGGAGAATGGCAGAGGCAATGCCAAGGCAGCTAATGGAAATCTTTCAGGCCTTGTTAGTCCCGAGTGGTGCCAGAGGAGGGGGTGGGGGCTGGGAGTTACTCAGAGCCTGGAGTAGGAGATAAGAAACATTTGCTTCGGAGCCGTTCCATCCAAACCCCCTACTCCAGGGCTTCACCACGGAACGGGATCAGGGCCCATGTGGGCAAGCTGGGGTGGGACTTGCAGGCGGGATTCCCACCTGCCCTATATGATGGTTCCCCTCTAGATCCGGGTGCCATGGAGACAAAAGATTGCGGGCGTGCTGGGGGTGGATTTAGCCCCTCGGTCCTTAATGGAGGGACGCAGCTCGTGTCCCCTGACCTCCAACCAGGTGCTTGGAACCCCTGACATCGGTAGACTTGCCTGGATAGGTGGGTGGAGGCTTGATTTCTACCTGCTCAGTCCAGTGGGCTGCTGGAGCTCAAGGGTGTCTGTGCTAAAGGGGGTGAGGGGATCCAGGGGCCCTCCCTGGTCTCCCCTCAGCTGTTTGCTCCCCTACTTGGGGGACCCAAAGCCCGCTGGGATGGACGCCAAGCGAGGCCCCTGCTGTGGGTGAAGGAGCCAGGGCCCTTGCATGGTGCAAGCGAGGCCTGCAAGCAAAAGGCGAGGGGGATACGGCATCTCTGCGCAACCCCACATTGCAACCTGATCCACCTGCTGGCATTGCCTAAAACACCCAGCTGCCCCCTGAACAGCCAATCAGCCTGTCGCACACCGCGGGCACACAGGTGCCCTGCAGGCTCATTCATACGCACCACTGCCCCCGCCCCTGGGTGGCATGGGGCTGGCAGGCTCACGGTGCCCGGGGGGGGGGGGCAGCCATGTGCCCCCAGGGACCCAGCAGGAGGAGAATTTCCGGTACCGCCGGGTGATCCCATTCCCATTGTAATTACAGACGTGGGTCTGGTGGCTTTCCGGGAGGAGAATGCCTTGTAATTTATTCATGATTACACGGGTTCTTGGTAACCGGAGCCTCGGAGCATTGGAAAGGTAGCTCGCAGCGGGGAGATTGGTCGCTGTGAATCCAGCTAAGCCCTGGGGGCTTTGAGTCCGCCGCATTCTGGGAGCCCCGGCGTCATGGGGAGGAACCAGGACACCTGGGTTCTATTCCAGGCTCTGCCCTTGGGCAAGTCACTTCAGCCCAGGTCCTCCAATGGATCCAGGCGCCTTGATTTCCAGGGTGTCAATGGGAGTTAGGAGCCTGAATTCATTTGAGGACCCAGGCCATCTCGCAGTGGTACCGTTCCCCCTCCCACCCTTTGTCGCCCTTGTCCCGTTAGATTGTAAGCTCCTGGCGGCAGAGACTACGGGGCCTGGATCTCAGCTGGGCCCCGTAGGCGCTCTGGTAATATAAACACTCGTTGGAGATGGGGGCTTTATCCTCACAGAACCCCGTCTGAGAAATGGGGGGATCAGCCTGAGGCCACACAGGGATTCGGGAGCTAACCCCACAGCCAATGACTTAAACCCAAGGCCCAGCCTCCCGCTAGGTTGACACTTCGGTCCTTGTAATTGGGGGGAGCCCTTCACCTCTGTGGGGCTATGAGGCCCTGAGGCCACGGGACACCCCAGCTTCAGGATTGGGGCCACAGGCTTAGCTGCTGTAGGGATGTATGGGAAGAGAGAGCCATCCCTTCGCCTGCCAGTGGGGTGCCGGGTGCCTTCTCCTCCCCGGCTCCCCCCTCGCCGGAGGCACCCCTAACGCTCACCCCCACCCCCCGGCTCCATGCAGGTATTCAGCACCTACTCCAATGAGGACTACGACCGCCGGAACGAGGATGTGGACCCCATGGCTGCCTCGGCTGAGTACGAGCTGGAGAAGCGGGTGGAGAGGCTAGACCTCTTCCCGGTGGAGCTGGAGAAAGGTGAGGAAGGGAGAGGCTGGCACTGCCTGGGCGGGGGGCTCTCCCTGCTGGCACTGGGGAGGCTAAGGGCCGGATACTCAGTGACCCCAACCCTGGGCTCGGGGCTAGGATGGGGGGAATGGTTGAGGGGGGCTTGGAGCCAGCTGTTCTCACACCTGCCTGGCGTCCCGTGGGTGCAGAAAATAGCCACAGTGCCGGGCGGGGGGGAGCGGGTAGGTGGGGAGCCCTTCCACCGGCCGGGGGGCCCTGCGAGTCTCAGGGCTGTTTCTGACCCGGGACAGGCTGCTTTGCGCAGCCAGAGCCGCATTGAAAGGGCCTGGGCGTGAGCCTCACGCTGCTCCATCTGACCTGGGGCACAGCCGGGCCTCTGCTTCCCGTACGCGTGCACACTCATCCCACGTACACCCGCACACTCATCCCCCTACACTCACACCCCCCCACACTTGCACGCTCATCCCCCACACACTCGCACATTCACCCCTCACACACGCATCCCCCACATGCTCATCCACGTCCACTTGCCCACTCATACACACGCTCCCCCATGCACTCGCACACTCATACACACACTCCCCCATGCACTCGCACACACACACTCCACCCTGAACGTGTACACTCACACACACACACCCCCTTGCACTCACACACTCATACACACACTTGCACACACACCCATCCACCTACTCACTGATTCATCCCCAGCACAGTTGCACACACCACCTCACACACTCATCCAACATACACACTCTGGCACACATCCCCTCGTGCACATGTGCACACCCAGCCTCCCTGCACTCACCCCCTCATCCACACCCCCTCATCCCTCCCACTCACACAAAGCTACTCACTCGTTCGCAGTTCTCACGTGTTCATCTCACACACTCGTTCCCTTCATGCACTCAAAGCATTCAGTGACTCAGACACAGCCTCTGTCCCAGCCTCGTGCACACTCATTCCTCTCTCAAACACACACAGACCCCGGCACACTAATTCACACACATGTGGACACGCACACATTCTTGCACACCAGTTCACACTCACCCTTGCATGCATGTGGCTGCGTGCACACACACAGAAGTCAAACATACACACCTCCTTGCACACTCATTCATACACAAACATCTGTACACACAAATACATACACCCTCCTGTGTGCGTACACGCAGGCTGCACGCCAATCTGCACACGTTCCCCTCCACACACACCTGCATGCATTCACACCCCCCAGTTCACACACATACCCTGCACACTCACTCATACACAAACACTACTGCACACACACACACCAGTTCACACACATACCTCAGTTCACACACGTACTGTGCACATCCACTCATGCACACATTTCACTGTACACCCCCCAGTTCACACACATACCCTGCACACTCACTCATACACACACACCACTGTGCACACACACACCCCAGTTCACACACATACCCTACACATACACAGTTCACACACATACCCTGCACACTCACTCATACACAAACACTACTGCACGTACACACACCAGTTCACACACATACCTCAGTTCACACACGTACTGTGCACATCCACTCATGCACACATTACACTGTACACCCCCCAGTTCACACACATACCCTGCACACTTACTCATACACACACACCACTGTGCACACACACACCAGTTCACACACATACCCTGCACACTCACTCATACACAAACACTACTGCACGTACACACACCAGTTCACACACATACCCTGCACACTCACTCTCACACACACCAGTTCACACACATACCTCAGTTCACACACGTACTGTGCACATCCACTCATGCACACATTACACTGTACACCCCCCAGTTCACACACATACCCTGCACACTCACTCATACACACATACCACTGAGCACGCACACACCCCAGTTCACACACATACCCTGCAGACTCACTCATATACACACCAGTTCACACACACCCCTCAGTTCACACACATACTGTGCACATCCACTCATGCACACATTTCACTGTACACCCCCAGTTCACACACATACCCTGCACACTCACTCATATACACACACCACTGCACACACACACACACACCCTAGTTCACACACATATTGTGCACATCCACTCATGCACACATTTCACTGTACACCCTCCAGTTCACACACATACCCTGCACACTCACTCATACACACACACCACTGCACGCACACACCCCAGTTCACACACATACCCTACACACACAGTTCACACACATACCCTGCACACTCACTCACACACACACCAGTTCACCTCAGTTCACACACATACTGTGCACATCCACTCATGCACACATTTCACTGTACACCCCCCAGTTCACACACATACCCTGCACACTCACTCATACACACACCAGTTCACACACACACACCCCAGTTCACACACATACCCTGCACGCACACACCCCTCAGTTCACACACACACTGTGCACATCCACTCATGCACACATTTCACTGTACACCCTCCAGTTCACACACATACCCTGCACACTCACTCATACACACACACCACTGTGCACACACACACCCCAGTTCACACATGTACCCTACACACACACAGTTCACACACATACCCTGCACACTCACTCATACATACACACCACTGCATGCACAGTTCACACACGTACCCTTCATGCATACCCCCTCCGGTTCACACACATACTGTGCACACCCACTCACTGAGTGTAAGTGAATGCACTAGTGAAAAGCTCTCCTCTCTGCCCCTGCAGGATGCTCTGAGAAGCAGGCCGGGGTGGGGCCAGGGTAGCTCAGAGAAGGCGTCTGCCCAGCAGACAGCAGCTGGTACGAACGCAAACAGGATGCTGCCGTGCTTTAGACGGGAGAGAGACAGCACGTTGCCAAGCCCCCGTGTGTGGTGTGTCGATGCCTCCCCCTCTCAGCGCTGAGCTCGCCCTGGGAGGGATCGACAGGGAAGAGGGTTCGAGGTTGGGGTGGGACTCGCGTGTGAAAGATCCCAGGAGGAAGACAAGCTTGAGGGGGCTTGACTAAGGGAAGGAAGCTGGTGAGGCTCCTAGGGGATCAGTCCACAGCAAGGGGTGCATGGGGGAACCAAGCAGCTGGTGAGGCTGGAGGAGGCTGGAGGAGATGCTGCCATCCCAGGCTGGAGGGACCTGTGTCACTGCGCTGCAGGAGCTCAGAGGGGTGGAGAATGTTTGCAGCACTGGTCGATTAGCTAAGATCCGTGCCACCAGGGGCACTGAGCCATGTGTTTCTGGACGTAAGCCGATCCCCTGGGGGTTGGGGGTTTGCCCGGCAAGGCGCAACGCCCAGGGGGCGGGAAGTCTCTCCTCGCTCTGAAGCATCAGGTGTGGGTTGCTAATGGAAGCAGGATACTGGGTTGGATGGGCCAGTGTTTGGATCCCGTTGGGCTACGGAAGCGAATGTTGTGACGTGTCTTACGGTAGACCCCAGAGGCCCCAGCTGAGACCAGGGCCCCACTGTGCTGGGCGCTGTACATCCAGAGTGAGAGAAGGACGCTGCCTCCAAACCCCTACAATCTACAGAGACAAAGGGTGGGCCGAGAGACCTGGCAAGGGGCAGGGGGAATAGAACTCAGGTCTCCCAGCTCAGCCCTATGAGTTAGGCCAACCCGCCCTGCTGGGCCTGGGTGCGAAGCCGGTATGGCAGGAAGTGAGAACTCAGGTTAGCTGGCCCCAAACTCTGATGTTGCAGGGAAGCCAGGCTATGGGGCTTTGATGTGCCGTCAGGTGTGATCTGGCAGTGCCCGTCCTGGGCACTCTTCTTCACATTGACTCGTTCCTTTGGTTTCCTTTCTCTCACACAGTCATTCACCCTCCCACGCATGCTGCCTCCCATAATTTAGCTGCCATCTGTCCTTGCCTCTCGTTGTAATAAACACTGTTCTTCTCTCCTGCTACTTCCTCACTTTCCTCCTGCCCCCGGGGCCTGTCCTGGCAAGCGCAGGAGCCCTCTGTGCCAGGCCCCTTCCATTGGCATTTGCCCGTCCCGCAGCGGGTGCGTCCCTGCTGCCCCAGTGCTCGCCAGCCCTTGTTCACCAGGCGTGGTTCTTGGGGTGACTGGACAGAGGGGAGGGCGCTGGCCCGGCTCGGAGTCCCCCAGCGGCAGCCCACGCGACCCCGTGATGGCAACGGGTCTCTCTCTCGCAGACTCCGAGGGGCTGGGAATCAGTATTATCGGGATGGGTGCCGGAGCGGACATGGGCCTTGAGAAGCTCGGCATCTTCGTCAAGACGGTGACCGATGGGGGAGCGGCCCACCGGGACGGCAGGTAAGCCCGGTGAAGTCAGAGACTCTCAGGCCAGAAGGGAACACTGGAGTCTTCTCGCCAGACCCCCTACTTAGCATAGACCGGGGAGCCTCGCCCAGCGATGCTGGCATCAAACCCACAGAGGCTGGCGGCGGGTCTAGGAGCTGAATCCAGATCTCATGAGAGTCTGAATCCCAAAACTGAGCATCCTCCTGTAATGCTCAGCTCCAGAATACATGGACCCTTGCCCCCTCTAACACACATGCTTTACTATCAGTCTGTTTGTTCCCTTCACTCCCAGAAGGGGGTGCTGTAAGGATCAGGGCAGGAGCACTGGCCATGGGGGGAGCTCCTGACTACTCCAGTCACCGCCTCTCCCAGTAGGGGGCGCTGTAAGGATCCCGGCAGGAGCGCTGGCTGTGGGGGGAGCTCCCAGCTACTCTAGTCCCAGGCTCTCCCATTTGGAATTATCGACATTTTGGCTGCAGACAGTACTTTGTGTATTTTGTAACTGATCATAAGAGTGTGTGTCACGGAGTCCCTGGGCGATGCTCTGGAACTGCTCCCCATGAAGTCAGTCAGGACTCTGGGGCAGTCGCCTTTCTGTGAGCAGCCTGTCTTCAGGACACGCAGCTCACTCAGCTTCCACCTTCCTGGGTCTGACCTCGGAGCATTCAGCATCCTCTGCCCCTCCGTGCGCTTCCCACAGCGAGTCCGCTAGGCGGGGCTCCTGGGGAGCCAGAGGGTCTGCACCCCAACTTCGCAGTCAGACGTGACTCTCACCCAGCCAGTAAAACAGAAGGTTTATTAGACGACAGGAACATGGTCTAAAACAGAGCTTGCAGGTGCAGAGAACGGGACCCTCAGCTGGGTCCATTTTGGGGGCAGTGAGCCAGACAACCACGTCTGCACTTCACTCCATGTCCCAGCCAGCCCCAAACTGAAAAACCCTCCAGCCCCTCCTCCTCTGGGCTTTGTTCCTTTCCCGGACCAGTAGGTCACCTGATTCCTTTGTTCTCCAACCCTTCAGCTCTCACCTTGCAGGGGGAAGGGCCCAGCCATCAGTTGCCAGGAAACAGGGTGTGGCCATTCTCTGTGTCCAGACTCCTCACACATGCCCTCTAGGGCACTGCAATGATCATACACCCTTACCCCACCACCTAGATACTTAAGAACTGCCTAGGGAAACTGAGGCACCCCCACACTATTCAGAGGAAACATTAAGAACAGTCCCACTTCGTCACATCTCTCCCCCTTCGAGATCGAACTGAGCGGGGTCACTTTAGCCGGTGACCTGGGAAGTTCGAAGCACCAACATTCCCATGGATGCCCAGCATCTCTCCCATTCCTTGGTAGGAGTTACACCAGGCCCTTCCAGTTTCACGCCCTCCCTTAGGTCAGGGGTGATCGATAGCATGCAGGCCATGTGGGAAGGTTTATGCAGCCCATGCCCTTTGCCACCCCAAGAATTCTCCCCATTGACCATCACCTTCTGCTCCCACTGAGGTCCGAGGGCCTGGCCCCAGGAAACTCCACACAGACATATAGTTTGGGGTCAGGAGTGGGAGCTGTCCACATCCCCAACCATCTGGCTGACGGGCTATGGCCTTGGGACCCAGCAAGGGAGCTAGACACCGGGGCTTTTCCGCAGGGTCCCCCTGGTTCAAATCGTCAGCCTGTCAAAGGCAGTGAGGTGGGCATCCACCCCCCCTCCTTAACCAGGGGCGCAATTTAGTCTCGAGGTTCCCTGCGAACTGGCCCCCGGACTATCCCCACTCACCCCTGGGGGTCCCCTAGGCCTCTCCGCTCCCCCACCGCCAGTTCATGTGCTGCTCTTCTGCAGTCTTTCGGGCCTCCTGTCTCCCACGGTCCTCTTCTCTCTCAGACTCAGCTCCAATCCCGTCCGTCTCGATCCCCCGATGGGCAACCCGATCGTGAAACCCCCGTCTGGTCGGGGACAGGAGTCTTGGCGATGCTGGCTCCCCTTCAGCTGCTCCCAGATCCTGCTATAGCCCCAGTTGGGGTCAGGAATTGTTCCTTGAGGGTCATCCTCCTCCGCTGCATGATTAACTTGCTTTGGTGAATTTCCAAGTCAACCCTCTCTTTCTCACAGGGTTACAATGTCCTTCTTAAGGAACGGTGACAGGCCATCACTCCGCTCCTCCCAAGTTGTTGTGGACTGGCCCGTGTGTTCTCAGCTCCCCACGGTTTCCAGGGAGAACCCCTAGTGTGCCAGCCCTTCTCGAGGTCACCACCTCTTTGCCAGGGTCGAGCTGCAGACTCCTCCGCCCCTGAGCTGCTCGCTGCAATCCCCAGGGGAACCCTGTTACTGCAAAAGTCCTTCTCTGGTCACACACTCCCAGGGGTTAAGCCCCGAAACCGCTCCTCTCTGAGCCTTCAGCAGGCCTGGTCTCGGCAATCCCCCTTCGTGTTACTGCTCCCCGTCACTTACTGCAGGAACGCCATCCACGGGGTGGTACATCCCACCGCTGCCACCAGTTGTCACGGAGTCCCTGGGCGGACTGGAACTGCTCCCCATGAAGCAGTCAGGACTCTGGGGCGTCGTTTCTGTGGCGCCTGTCTTCAGGACACCGCTCACTCGCTTCCACCTTCCTGGGTCTGACTCGGAGCATTAGCATCCTCTGCCCCTCCGTGCGCTTCCCACAGCGAGTCCGCTCAGGCGGGGCTCCTGGGGAAGCCAGAGGGTCCTGCACCCCAACTTCGCAGTCAGACGTGACTTCACCCAGCCAGTAAAACAGAAGGTTTATTAGACGACAGGAACATGGTCTAAAACAGAGCTTGCAGGTGCAGAGAACGGGACCCCTCAGCTGGGTCCATTTTGGGGCAGTGAGCCAGACAACCACGTCTGCACTTCACTCCATGTCCCAGCCAGCCCCAAACTGAAAAACCCTCCAGCCCCTCCTCCTCTGGGCTTTGTTCCTTTCCCGACCGTGGTCACTGATTCCTTTGTTCTCCAACCCTTACCTCACCTTGCAGGGGGGAAGGGCCCAGGCCATCAGTTGCAGGAAACAGGGTGTGCTTCTCTGTGTCAGATCTACACACATGCCCTCTAGGGCACTGCAATGATCATACACCCTTACCCCACCACCTAGATACTTAAGAACTCTAGGGGAAACTGAGGCACCCCCACACTTTCAGAGGAAACATTAAGAACAGTCCCACTTCCACAGTGTGGTTGGGAGCTTTTCTATATTGCACACCAGTCTGCTGGTGTGGTTTGTGTGTGTGTGTGTGAAGGGGTGGGCTGGCTATTGTTGTATCTCTTGGCTTTGCATTGCTCTTTATTTAGCTTTGTAGTGTGTGTGTACACATGCTGCTTTTCGCATTGTGTGTTCTAGTTGTGTTGCTGTGTATGAAGCACTCTGTGTGTGTGTGACAGTGGTTGTGTGTGTGTGGAGCTTGTGAGTTGCAAATGAGTTGCTAACAATGCCCTGTTGCGTTAATTATTCTCTGTGCCTAGGCTGCTTCTGCCTGCAGTCTGAGTTGTGTACCATTGGCATGGTAGACAAGCCCGAGTGCTGGTTGTGTAGTTGTGGATGCAGAATTGCCAACCCCCAAGCATTCCAAAATCACCATCAGGCCTCCAAAAAGCATGAAATTGGCTTTGAAGTCATGAGATTTTTACAAAATAAAAAATCTTCTTATTTTGGGCTTCTTATTAGCCTCCTTGTTTCGAGGCTTTAGGGGGCGAGAGTAGCATTTTCAAGCTCTTCTCTGCCACCAGCGGAGCTAGAAATTCACGTTGTTGTTAAAAATGAGATTCAAACACAAACACCTGACTCCAGGCGGTGGGGCTTTCAGAAAGAGAACTCCTGCAAGACTCCGCACTGCAGTCTGTAGGTCTCTGTGTTACTGTGTGCTGCACACCGTCTTCTCCATGTGCTCATGGTGAGCTGCGGGGAACGTGTCTGTGTGTTCGTTGTTTGCATCTGTAACGTATTTCTGTATTCATTTCAATGTTGCTGACTTGGAGGGCTTCACAATTCACATAACTCCCTCCCAGAAGGGTCTCTAGGGAGAGCGCAATCAGACAGTCTTTTCCCAGCCTGCTTCAGTGCAGCCCAAACAATCAAATGCGGGAGGGTCTCGGCTGGATTTTCCGTTCCCTGGCAATTTGGGTTGCCACTGACACCCCTGCAAAGTGGGTATGTTCTGATCTCTGGCATTTAACACTCAGGCTGGTTGCCTCGCAAAATTTTCAGTGCTACTTTGTGTGGGGACACTGACATGGATTTAAACTGAACTTATAACGGGGTCAGTTTGCATCGGTAAAGCTAAACCAACATAGGCCAGCTATAAAGTGATGGCAACTCATCCACACACCAGTAGACAACACACACAAACACATAAACACACAATATACACTCACCCCATTTGCAAGTAAACACATAGAGCCATGTACAAATACACTAAGAAACCCATGCAAACCCCCAGTGCAAACACACCCGCATGCGCACACACACACACAAAGATACGCTCATGCTCCAACACCTCCACTTTCGCTCCCGCACACACATATACTCAGAAACACAATCACAACCAATTTGACCAAACTTGTGCAGAACCAGGGTGACTGCAGGTAGGCCAGCTCTCGCTTCGCACTGGGGTCCACGGTGGAATGAGGGACGGGGACAACGAAGGATCTAGCCCAGAGACAGAATCAGTCCCTTTGTGTAACACACCAGCAGGCATTGGGAAATCACAGCGAGTTTCACAATGAAGGTTCTGCAGAGCAAAGGGGAAACGTCGTTTAAAATGGAGACACAAACGTCAGTGCCCCCAGTGGGGCTCTCTGTACGTGTTATGTTGCGTGTTTCTGTGTATGTATGTCAGGGGAGTTGTATTAATATACATTTGTACCCCTTTAGGCAGGAGCTGTGGACTGCCATTTCAAGTGCCAGGTCACCACGCCACTCACTCAGCTCGGCTCTGTCATGGTCTAGATCAGGGGTGGGCAAACCTTTTAGCCTGAGGGCCACATCTGGGAATAGAAATTGTATGCCGGGCCATGAATGCTCAGGAAATCGGGTTTGGGGTGTGGGAGGAGGTGAGGGCTCTGGTTGGGGGTGCGGGCTCTGGGGTGGGGCTGGGGATGAGGAGTTTGGGGTGTAGGAGGGTGCTCTGGGCTGGGACCGAGGGCTTCGGAGGGCGGGAGGGGGATCAGAGCTGGGGCAGGGAGTTGGGGTGCGGGAAGGGGTGCAGGCTCTGGCTGGAGGTGCAAGCTCTGGGGTGGGGCTGGAGATGAAGGGTTTGGGGTTCAGGAGGGTGCTTTGGGCTGGGATTGAGGGGTTTGGAGGGTGTGAAGGGGATCAGGGCTGGGGTTGGGGCATGGGGAGAGGCTCAGGGGTGCAGGCTCCGGGGTGCAGGTACCTCAAGCAGCTCCCAGAAGCAGCAGTATGTCCCTTCTCCAGCTCCTAGGCGGAGGCACGGCCAGGTGGCTCTGCACGATGCCCCGTCCGCAGGCACCGCCCCTGCAGCTCCCATTGGAGCGCCAGAGGGGGCCATGCCACTGCTGTCGGGAGCCGCGTGGAATGGCCCCCAACGCTGCTCCCCTGCTGGAGCTCCAGAGTGGGGCAAGCCCCAGACCCTGCTCCCCAGCGGGAGCTCGAGGGCCGGCTCAAAACAGCTGGCAGGCCGGATACGGCCCATGGGCCGTAGTTTGCCCACCCCTGGTCTACATAATACTTATTCTGCCATGAGTGCAGGCAATGGGACTAGCTGAGCTCTCGAGGTTCCTTCCAGGCCTACGATTCTGTGATTCCATGCCTGGCCCGGGCCAAACCTGAGTCGGGCTCTGACCTGGTGCTTAAAAGCGGCAGGACTATGGCCGATGTGCCCCCCTTCCCCACAGCTCCTCAGCGTGTGCCTTGGAGTATATTTTTTTGTATATGTGTGTGTGTTTAGGTTGCTGAGTCTGTATTTGTGCGATTGTAAGTGGAGGTGTTTGCAAATGGGTGTGTATTTCTGTGGGTGTGCTTGTGTGGGGGGGGTGTTTGCATGGGGGGACTGACTACATGGGTATGGGAGGGTGTGCATTTGTGTATGGGTGTGTGGGTTTTGTGTGTCGGCATGTCTGTTGTGTTTATGTGTGTATTTATGTATGGGTGTGTGCTTTAGGTATGTCGGCATGTCTGCTGTGCTTATGGGTGTGTTTGCATACAGGGGTGGGTGCATGGGGGGATGTATAGATGTGCATGGGTATTTGTGTATGGTTATGCGTTTTTTGTGTTTGGGCGTGTCTGTTGTGGTTATGTGTGTATTTGCGCATGGGTGTGTACTTTAGGTACGTGGGCGTCTCCGTTGTGTTTATGGATGTGTTTGTGTACTGGGGGGGGGCATATAGGGGGAGTATAGATGTGCATGGGTGGGTCTGCATTTGCATATGGGTGTGCGGGTTTTTGTGTGAGGGCGTGTCTGTTGTGTTTATGGGTGTGTTTGTGCACGGGGGGCGGGTGCATGCACAGAGCAGGGTGCAGACAGGGGGCGGCTGGAGAAATCTGGGCCCCGAGCAGCGTTAATGATGCAGACAGGACAAAGTGGCTGGTAAGGAGTGTGAGCTCCTGGCCCCAGGCAGGAGCTCTCTGCCCGGAGCGGTGACAGCTCTATGCCTGTTCCGGATCCACCTGTGGGGCAGGGGCAGGGGCAGGGACAGACCCGGCCAGGGCTTTGAGGTGAGAGAACATCCCAGGCTGCGGTTTGGGGGATCCCAGGCCGGGATTGGGGTACATGAGAGCTCCCCAGTGCTGCCTGATGCCTGGGCCCCATCAGGGATGTCACTGCCCGTGCCGGGGGCCACCATTGGTTTATAGCATGGACACCCCCAGTCCCAGGGGACATCACCGGCCTAAACAAGGGATCCCGGCTCAGCTCCTTCCCCCTTCTGGAGCCAGCAGCTCCCGCTGCCTGGGGAGAATGGCCCAAGCCCCCGCGCCCCTCTCCAGGCCAGGCTAGTGCTGACAGACCTGCGGGGTCTCCATCCCACTCTCCCCACCAGCTCTCTCGGTCTCAGCAGTGGGAGGATCAAGCGCCCGACTTGGCTGCCTAGGTCCGACAACCGCGTCCACCCTCCGTCTGCCAGCCGGGAGCTGCCAGGGATACCTCCGTGGCAGGGCCCGGACCCTGGCTGCCAGGATAACTGCCCTCGCCGCTCCCCGAGGGAGGGAGACGCGGGCCTGTCCTGAGGGGGCAGACGGGGGAAAGTGGGGGATGGGGCTGGCTTTACAGTTTGTGACTCCCCTTAGTAGGGTGACCAGATGTCCCGTGTTTAAAGGGACAGTCCCGTTTTTGGGGACTTTTTCTTATGTAGGCGCCTATGACCCCCCCACCCCCATCCCGTTTTTTTCACAGTTGCTATCTGGTCACCCTACCCCTAAGGAGGCTGTTCTGGGACGCTCCCACCCATCCTAGCAGGCTCTCCTCCCGCCCCACACATCCTTCCCAGACCAGAGCGATCCAGCCCGGCCGTCCTGCCCATCAGCTCCCCCTGTGGCCACGGGCTCTGGGGCTCCCAGATGCCCTTCTCCCTGGAGGGGTGGGCAGGTGGCAGAGGCGGAGGGGGCACAAGGATGCTGTACCCCAGTGAGGCACGGCGGTGGGAGAGAGCTGGGGTGCTGGCATAGCTGGGGTGGGGGGGGGGCGCAGCTTGATGGCAGGTTCAACCCCTCTGCTGCCGGGCAGGCTTGGGGCCCAGTACCATCCTGGCACCATCTCAGAGCCTCCCTGAGGCCTTGCTCCGTGGCTGCCACTTAACCTAGCAACTGAGAGTTTCCTCCTCCGACCGCACTGGCCATCCCCGGCTTCCTGAGCACGGGGAGGAATGTTCCTTCCTCTTTCCGCTACGCAGAATAATCTCCGATTAACCCTTTCCAGTGTGGGGAGGAGGGGCCAACCCCAGGAGATGGCACAGCACTGGGGTGAGTTAGCTGCAGTTACACTATCTGGGAAGGGCAATTGGCCCTCATGCTTCAGGGCGTCATCCGATCGCCAGCCTGGCACAGATCAGGAAGGAAATCTCCCTACAGGGCAGCACGGGGGGGTTGGTTTTATGCCTTCTGGTGCAACATCCATAACTGGGCACTGTGGGAGGCAGGGTGCCAGACTACACGAAGAATTGCTCGCTTCAGTGTGGCAGGAGACACGACGGTGAATTAGACGGGCCAGTGATTTGATCCCATATTGCAGGTGCCAAGATACGGGACTGAATGGGCCAGTGGGCTGATCCTGTAACAGGAACCAGGATAGGGGACTGGATGGGCCAGTGGGATCCTGTAACAGGAACCAGGATAGGGGACTGGATGGGCCAGTGAGCTGATCCTGTAACAGGAACCAGGTTAGGGGACTGTATGGGCCAGTGATCCTGTAACAGGAACCAGGATCCGGGACAGGATGGGCCAATGGGCTGATCCTGTAACAGGAGCCAGGATAGGGGACTGGATGGGCCAGTGAGCTGATCCTGTTACAGGAACCAGGATAGGGGACTGGATGGGCCAGTGAGCTGATCCTGTAACAGGAACCAGGATAGGGGCCTGGATGGGCCAATGGGCTGATCCTGTAACAGGAACCAGGATAGGGGACTGGATGGGCCAGTGGGCTGATCCTGTTACAGGAACCAGGATAGGGGACTGGATGGGCCAGTGGGCTGATCCTGTAACAGAAACCAGGATACGGGTCTGGATGGGCCAATGGGCTGACCTAGCTTGGCAAGAGATCTGGGGGGGTTGGGAGGGCCCCATCAGCTCAGACAGCTCGTGGGCCTGTACTGATCTGGAACAGTGCCCCCGAGCCCACCGCACCCTCTGCCAAAGACCTTGCCCTCCCTTTCTCTCTCTCACTCGCCTTCTCCTGCCCTTAGGATCCAGGTGAATGACCTCATCGTGGAGGTGGACGGTACCAGCCTGGTGGGCGTGACCCAGAGCTTCGCGGCCTCGGTGCTGAGGAACACCAAGGGTAGAGTCCGGTAGGGGAACGGCGTGCAGCCTGCTTGCCAGGGGGCCCCAGGGGAGCAGACCACACCGCTCAGAGCCCTGCTGGTGGGCGCTCCAGAGGAGGCTGTGCGAGATATGCCACTTCCTGCTGAGTCTTTGATCTTCCCTAGTCTGGCCCCCTGGGTGTAAACATGGTGTCTCCACCCACTTCTCTCTTGGGTCTGCTCCCCAGTTGATTGGGAAGGGTATAAAAGGGGGTGATGCGCTAGCCAGGCTCCACCCACTATCCAAAGCCTGGCCCCACAGTTCCAGACAAGCTGGATTTTTCTTTGTCAACAATCAGCAACGCCACCGTTAACATTTTAAATGTCATCATTACACTTCAGAGTCAACACCTCCCACTGCAATTCATGGGGACTATTTACAGCTCTCCGAGCCATTAGGCCAAGTTGAAAGGTGAATCTGAACTGCCCTGCCCTTCTCCCCACCCTCATTAGTGTGTAAACGACACTAACACAGGCGAACTCTGACTCTGCAGAAGGTGACCGGGCTGCTGGGAAGGGCTCATACCAGCCAGCACCGAGTGGTCCCATTCTCCACCTGTTTCATTTTACTGGAGGCAGGAACGTGGTTGGGTTTGATTGTCACCCGCTACTAGGATCCTCTGCTTGTACCATCCCCAGGGGTCGCGGTGCCAACACCAGGAAGGTGGGCCCGGCCCTGCCAGCACCCTGGTAACCACGCTGTCATCAGTGGCATTGTGCCTGCGGGCGAGAGGGGAATCCAGCCGGCGTGGGAATATGAGATTGCCCCAGTTTTGGGCCCAGCTCCTGGGTGCCGGGGCCCAGGGCAGGCGATGGCTGAGATTCTCTGCTGGGCTGCATGGGGCGGGGGGGGGGGTGGGATTTCACGCCCCATTCCATTGCCCTCCCAGACTCGGTGCCCCAGGATCTGAGCGTGTCAGTCAGGGATCCCCTCTCTGTGCCTGTGTTTGCTACACACCCTGCTCTGGGTCTGCCTGTCGAAACAGCTCCAGATCTCTCCCATGGCACCCCACTGTGTATCTCCCACAGCCCCATAACATCCACTGTGCACCCCATCACATCCCACCCCGTATCTCCTATAACTTCTAGTGCACCCCATAGTAATCCACTGTTTATCTCCCATAGCCCCATAAACTCCACTGTGCCCCCCATAGCCCCTCACTGGATATCCCCTGGAAACATCCCCAGTGCATCCCAGAACATGGGTAACATCCCAGACCACCCCCACACCCCTCTCTCCCTCCCATCGCACCCCGTGCCTGCCACTCGGATCCCCTCCCACGACCAGCAAAGGGCCTGCTAGGTGAAAAACCAGTGTCCCCCTCAGGAACGGGGCGAGGGGGGGGGGCAGGCCATGGGAGCAAAAGAGGAAGTGAGAGATGCTGGAGCCGCTGAGGGGAAGCACTGGCTGGCGATGTTTCCGCCTCGCTGCGGGGCTCTTTGCAGGAGGGCCCCGCTGACCCCTTTATCTTGCCCTGAGCATCTCGGGCTCCGCCCTTCCTGGCTGGGATCAGCACGAGGGGCCGCGGGCCGCCCTAGCTCTGCGCCCGGCACCCGGCTCCGGATGTTTTCTCTCAAATATATATTGTTAAAATAATCGGCCTGAAATAAACCCGCCCACCAACGTGGCACAGCAGCGACGTCAAGCCAGAGCAGCCGAGCCCAGAGTGCAAACCGGGCCCCGCCTAGCCCGTGCCCGTCCCTCCGCGCCCGCGCGTGGGGCTGAGTCCGTCAGGGTCGAGGAGCCCAAACAGCTCCGCTGCTCACACAGGGGGCAGCACTGTAGACGGCCCGGGGAGCGCCAAACTGATTGTTTGGGGGGGGGTCTTATTTAGGGGGGGGTCGTGGAGTGGGGCAGCATTTGCACCTCCTCCTAAGCGGGCTGGACACTGCAGTCAGGTGGGCAAGGAGATTCCAGCGGGTCTTGCCCTGGGGCCTGTTCCCATCCCGGCTTTCATGGGCAGTGGGGAGGAAATGAGACCCTGCCGTAGGCTGGGAGTCGATGGGGGGGGAGTCCTGGCCCCCTGAATCCCGGCTTCCCCCCACCATCCTCTAAAAGCCCTGAGCAGACTCCCCCAAGAGGCGAGTTACTCAGGGCTGCCTGCGGGGGAACCGTCCAACAGGGCGGGGAAAGGGGTCGGCAAAGGCAGCGGCTGGGCGAAGCTCGAGGCCTGGCTCCCTGCTGATCTGCCCCTCGTGCCGGCGTGGAGAGCAGTGCGGAGCGGGTGCGAATCGTCGCCCCACCCGCGTGGGAGGAGGACGGGGCCTGCTGGGATCAATCAGCAGCAGCTGTGCCTCCGGGGCAGGGGGGTTGTCCTAGGCTGACCCGCTGGCCTGGTGTCCGTTCCTGCCGCAGGTTCCTGATCGGGCGGGAGAAGCCGGGCGAGCAAAGCGAGGTCGCTCAGCTAATCCAGCAGACGCTGGAGCAGGAGCGGTGGCAGCGGGAGATGATGGAGCAGAGATACACCCAGTACACGGAAGAGGACGAAGAAGTAAGAGGAGTGCGCGAGCGGCATTTCCCGGTCGCCTCTGGGCAAGGGCTGGAGACCGGAGCATGCGCTGGTGTCCTTGCAATCCCGTCCTCCCCCACTCCAGTAAAGGCCCCCAGGGAGACTCCCCCCGCCCCTGGGGTCAGAGAGGAATCCAGGCCCCAGTGCTAATTAGCCCCGTACTTAGTTATTCAGCAGTGGCACCTAATGGCCTCAACCAAAATCAGAGCCTTAACGTGCTAGGCGCTGTGCATACCCAGAGGGAGAGCCAGCCCCTGCCCCAGGGAGCTTCTGGTCTGAACAGGCAAGACAGACGAAGGGTGGCGGGACTCCCCCCAAGTTCACCCACACTAGCTAGAACCCGGGTCTCCTGAGTCCCAGTCCCACTGCTCTACCCACTAGTCCACACTGCCACCTCTGCAGGTGCACCACCAAACACACTGATCCTCCAAAGGACCCGAGTCCTAGCTTGGTTGGGGCACCGTCTCGTGAGATGAGAGGGGGATTCAGGCTCCAGGGCCATGCCAATCCAGATGTCCCCATTCACTGCTCCGCCCCGGCCACTGGCCGTATCCTGGAGGTATTGCCCTGTCCACAGACATTCATACTTGTGCTTCCCCCAGACACCATGCTGCTCCGCAAAAGCCTGTCCCCGGGCTATGGAGGGGCCAGGAGAACTGGCTCACTTAGTCTGTGTACCAGGAGCCCAATGAGACGCCGTCGGCCTGATGCATTGCCCTGCCGCTCAGGTTGTCATTTGCTCCAGTGAAAAGTGGGGGTGAAAGGACGAGTCCGCCTGGAAGCACTTTGCACTGGTGTGAGTGACGCACGAGGTGCCGGGCATTGGAGTATCAGGCCCCTGCTGCCCTCTTCTCAGTGTCCTAATCCCTGGGCATGCTGCCAGGCATCCGGCCGGGAGGTAGCTTCCCACACACTGCCGAGCTCTGCCACGGAGGGAAGGTGCAATGCGGGGTGCAAGCCCCTCTCTCTTGTGGCTGTCTCTGCCGGGCTGTGCAATGTGGCGGCATCCAGGATTAATGGGCTCTCCTGGCAGGGTTCCTGGTGGGTTTGTGTTGTGTGGGAGAGGAGTGGAAAACGAAGGAATCGCTCCATTCGACTGTCACGACGTCTAATTATAACTAGCTCTTAGCGAGCGCCGGCATCAGTGGTTCTCAGAGCACTTTATGGTGGAGCGCAGCATTGTTATCGCCATGTGATGCACGGGGAAACCGAGGCACGGCACGGGGCGGTGACTTGCCCCCGGTCACCCAGTGGGCCAGTGACAGAGCCAGGCAAACCCAGGCCTCCTGAGTCCCGGTAATAATGACATGTCGAGGTGCAGCTACTCCCTTCTCCTTCCCCACACCCCGTGACCGATCCCAACAGACACCACTCCCCACTCTCTCCTGCCAGCCCCTGCCCCCCGCTTTGCACACCCGTGGGGATTCCCAAAGCAGCCTAATGAAATTAGGCACTTGATGCCCATTGAATTCCATTTCAACTGGAGCGGTGTGCCTAAATCACTTAGGCGCCTTGCAGCCCGAATCGATAACGCTGCAGGCGCACAGCTGAGCTAGTGGCTAGTGCATGGGGCTAACCGTCAGGATGTCCTCAGTTCTTGTCCCAGCTCTTCCTCAGTTCCCCCACCTATAAAATGGGCTCAGAATTCCCTGCTTCTCGGGGGGTGTTGTGAGGAAGAGGGGCCCCGCCTAATGCCTTTGGGAGATTTTTGTTGTGTTCTCCAGCAATTACCAGAGCTAGTACAATGGGTCCTGGCCACTCAGCAGTGTGGGAATAGAGGTAATAATGATTTGTATTATGGTTGCGCCTGGATGCTTCACCCGAGATTGGGTCCCCTTTGTGCTCGGCGCTGTACGCACACACAGGGCAGGAGATTGTACCTGTCCCCAAGACATCATATTCTGAAGAGGCTGGACAGATCTCTTACCCCCCATGTTACAGATGGTGCAGCAGCGTGCCCTGGGTGTGCAATCCAGGATGTTAGCAGCAGAGCTGGGACCAGACCCCAGGTCCCCTGAGTGCCAGCCAAGTGCAGAAACCACCAGGCCATCCTTTGCCTCTGCAGGTTAAGTGTAGGGTTGGGGGGGCTGGGTTTTAGAGCTCTGCCCTAGGGGGCTCTGGGGAGCAGCAGTGGTGATGAGGGGGTAGCTGTCGGCGCTATGCATGGCTCTGGTCTGGGACGTGCTGGATTGGGGGTGGATCACGGGGAGGGACCTGGCCATAGCTCCCAGTTCTGTGTCCGCAGACGGGTGAATATGCCACAGACGAGGACGAGGAGATGAGCCCCATGTTCCCCAGCAGCGAGATGGCCATCGAGGTCTTCGAACTGGCTGAGAACGAGGACATGCTGTCCCCTGTCGAGATGGACCCCGAGAAGCTGGTGCACAAGTTTAAGGAGGTAAAGACGGGGGAAGGGGAGTTCCCAAAAGACACCCGAAATCGGAGTGGGGGGAGGCAGAAGGGGTGTACGGCACCAGTGTGAGTGTGTGTGTATCAGTGTGTGCTTATTCTTGTGTGAATGTGTGCATGTGTGTATGCGGGTACATATGTGTGTGTGTATGAGTGCATGGATGGGCATCGGTGCATGCATGTGTCCCTGTGTGTGCCTGGGGTCAGAGTGTATGTGAGTTTGTGCCTGTGCGTGTATTCACAAGAGCAAGGATTTCTGTGCATACTTGCATGTGTGTCATGGGATAATGGGTATATGTTCATGCATGTGTGTGTGCACAAGGGCATGGGTGTGTGTGCATGTATGTGTCAATGGGTGGGCGTGCATGTGCGCGTGTACAAGGGCATGGGTGTGCATGCATGTATGCGTCAATGGGTGGGCATGCATGTGTGTGTTGCACAAGTGCATGGGTGTGTGCATGTGTCAATGGTAGTGTGTTCGTACGTATGTGTTGCACAAGTGCATGGTGTGCATGCATGTATGTGTCAATGGGTGGGTGGGTGTACATGGGTGTGTGTTGCACGAGTGCATGAGTGTGCATGCATGTGGGTGTACATGGGTGTGTGTTGCACAAGTGCAAGCATGTATGTGTCAATGGGTGGGTGTGCATGTGTGTGTTGCACAAGTGCATGGGGTGTGTGCATGTGTCATTGGGTGGGTGTGCATGTGTGTGTTGCACAAGTGCATGGATGTGCATGCATGTATGTGTCAATGGGTGGGTGGGTGTACATGGGTGTGTGTTGCACAAGTGCATGAGTGTGCGTGCATGTATGTGTACATGGGTGGGTGGGTGTACATGGGTGTGTGTTGCACAAGTGCATGCATGTATGCGTCAATGGGTGGGTGTACATGAGTGTGTTGCACAAGTGCATGGGTGTGTGTGCATGTGTCAGTGGGTGGGTGAGCATGTGTGTGTTGCACAAGTGCATGAGTGTGCACGCATGTATGTGTCAATGGGTGGGTGGATGTACATGGGCGTGTGTTGCACGAGTGCATGAGTGTGCGTGCATGTATGTGTCAATGGGTGGGTTTCAGAGGAACAGCCGTGTTAGTCTGTATTCGCAAAAAGAAAAGGAGGACTTGTGGCACCTTAGAGACTAACCAATTTATTTGAGCATGAGCTTTCGTGAGCTACAGCTCACTTCATCAGATGCATACCGTGGAAACTGCAGCAGACTTTATATACACACAGAGAATATGAAACAATACCTCCTCCCACCCCACTGTCCTGCTGGTAATAGCTTATCTAAAGTGATCAACAGGTGGGCCATTTCCAGCACAAATCCAGGTTTTCTCACCCTCCACCCCCCCACACAAATTCACTCTCCTGCTGGTGCTAGCCCATCCAAAGTGACAACTCTTTACATAATCAAGTCGGGCTATTTCCTGCATAGATCCAGGTTTTCTCACATCCCCCCCACCCCCATACACACACAAACTCACTCTCCTGCTGGTAATAGCTCATCTAAACTGACCACTCTCCAAGTTTAAATCCAAGTTAAACCAGAACATCTGGGGGTGGGTGGGTGTTCATGTGTGTGTTGCACACGTGCATGGGGGTGTGTGCATGTGTCAATGGGTGGATGTGCATGTGTGTGTTGCACAAGTGCACGGGGGTGCATGCATGTCTGTGTTTGAGTGGGGGGTGGTGCATGCGTGTGATCATTTGTATGCGTGTGGTTACGTTGCCCTCTAGTGGCTAGAAGCGCTGTCTGTAAGCCCTGTCGAAGGCATCCCAGCCGCACCCCGCCTGCGGGGTCTAAGCACCGGCCCTAGTTCTGCCCCGGCGGGTGGTGATCCTTTTTCAGCTCCAGTGCAGAAGGGCTGGGCGCATCCCGACGGCGACAACCTCCCTTGGCTCGCGGGCTAGTGGGAAGGGCCCAAGGGCTTTGAGGGGTGGCTGGGCAGCTCCTGGCACTATCCGGACAGCTCAAGTGTCTGCCAGCCCGTAGGATCCCAGCGCGCTGACCGGGCACCACAGCCCAGATCTCCAGGAGAGCTCTGCACGGAGGGTGCCGACCCTTTTTGTGGACACTGAGCCCTTGGCAGTCTGGTCTTGCCAGCCTGATTCTCCTCTCCCACCGGTGCCACTCCGCTGCGGTCAGGAGAGTCACGTTACTGCAAAGCCAGTTTAGGCTGGAGGAGAACCGGGGTGTGTGTGGGGGGGATTCACTGCAGCACCACATCATGTATCCTGGTGAGGGTGTTGCCAGGACTCCGGGGTTCATACCTTGGCTCGAATGGAAAGCTTCAGGGAAATTTACTGCTTGCATGTGGCCGGGGCTGAGGGCGCCAGGGCAGCGGCTGGGGCTGGGACCTCCCTGCACGTGGGGAGTAACCGCTCTGTTACTCTCTGTCAGCTCCAGATCAAACACGCCGTCACCGAGGCCGAGATCCAGCAGCTGAAGAGGAAGGTAAGCGCCGAAGAAGGGACCGTGTGTGTGTGTCGGGGGGCGGGGGTCCCCTCTTTGGGCTCCCTGGTCCAGTGAGGCTTCACCCGCAGGATCCCGGCCAGACTGGGCTGCTGGCATCTCCCCACTCTTCTGTTCCCTCCTTTCCCCTACCCGGCATGGCCTCCGCGAGCCCGGCTCTGTCGTGGGGTCTTCTGCTTTCCCCCTCGCTCTCAGTTTTCCCCGTTGTTTGTATTGCCCAAGGATGCACAGACGCCGAGAGACACGACCGCACGCGCACACAGACAGACCCCAGCAGGCATAGTCACACACTCGTGTGCGCAACTACCCACGCAGCTACACAAAGACACACACGAGGATGCACAGCCGCACACAGAGACAAGCACACACACACAGATGCACAGCCATGCGCACAGATACAACAGCACACAAGCAGACACACAGAGAGAGACAAGCACACACACAAACAACCGTGTGCAGAGATACAACAGCACACAAGCAGACACACACAGAGACACAAGCACACACACAAACAACCGTGTGCAGAGATACAACAGCACACAAGCAGACACACAGAGAGAGACAAGCACACACACAAACAACCGTGTGCAGAGATACAACAGCACACAACCAGACACACACAGAGACAAGCGCGCACCAAGAGACACACACACAGACACACAACCACGCACTCCACCAAAGACAAAGGTCCACAGCACCAAAGAGACACAAACACACACCCATACTTCTCCCAACACTCCCTGCTGCTGGGGTGCATATGCGCTGCCCCATCTTCTGCCCCTCTCTCCCCAAATGCCCCTCATCTCCCCTCCCCTTACCTGTCATCCCCCAGCACAGTCTCCCTTACCCGTCTTCCCCTCACCCTGTGCCCTGTGGTCTCTGCTCCCAGCTGCAGTCCATTGAGCAGGAGAAGGCTCGCTGGCGAGCCGAGAAGGCCCAGCTGGAGCAGAGCGTGGAGGAAAACAAGGAGAGGATGGAGAAGCTGGAGGGTTATTGGATGGAGGCCCAGAACCTGTGCCAGGCAGTGGATGAGCACCTGAAAGAGACTCAAGCCCAGTACCAGACCCTGGAGCGGAAATACAGCAAGGCCAAGCGGCTCATCAAGGAGTATCAGCAGAAGTAAGGCCATGTTCTCTGTTCCCTGTGGATCTCCCAGATCTCCATCCACTTTGGATCTCACAGGACTAGTAATCCCAAATTGCCATTCCTCATGAATCTCCCAGGGCTAGTAATCCCAGATTCCCATCCCCTATGGATTTCCCAGGACCAGTGATCCCAGATCCCCATCCCTTATGGATCTCCCAGGACTAGTGATCCTAAATTCCCATCTCTTATGGATCTCCCAGGACTAGTGATCCCAGATCCCCATCCCATATGGGTATCCCAGGATGAGTGATCCCAGATTTTTACCCCATATGGATCTCCCAGGATTATTGATCCCAGATTCCCATCTCTTATGGATCTCCCAGGATTAGTGATTCCAAATTCCCATCCTCTATGGCTCTCCCAGGGATGGGGATCTGTATCCTGCCCAGTTCAGAGAGTCCCTTGGGTTAGGTGCTGGAGCAGCTCTCCCAGCGGCCGGGCTCTAGCCTGACTGCTCCCCCCATTCCCCACAGGGAGATCGAGTTCCTCAAGAAGGAGACGACCCAGAGGCGCGTCCTGGAGGAGTCGGAGCTGGCCCACAAGGAGGAAATCGACAAGCTCCAGGAGAAGGTGGGCACCAAGGACCAGGATCCGGGGTTCCCCTGAGGCAGCGCATCAGGAGATTGCAGAGGAGAGGGCCCTGGCTGTGACTGGACGGCTCCGGACGGGGACTTCCAGTGGACCAGAGCTGGCTTTGGCAGGAGCAGGGGGTGGGGCGAGGAGGGGGCTCCATTTGCCTCGCTCCGCCTTCTCCACGACAGCGTGGGCTTGATTCCCTTTGTCTGGTGGCCCGGTGCGATGGGCACTGGGTCACGCCGGATCCTGCGTTGGATGTCAGGGCATGCCGGATCCTGCGTCAGTGCAGGTCACACCAGATCCCACCGTGGGTCACGCCGGATCCCATGCCGGGTGCTGGATCACACCGGATCCCGCAGTGGGTCACGCCGGATCCCACGCCGGGTGCTGGATCACACCGGATCCCGCAGTGGGTCACACCGGATCCCACGCCGGGTGCTGGATCACACCGGATCCCGCAGTGGGTCATGCCGGATCCCGCACCGGGTGCTGGGTCCCACCAGATCCCACCGTGGGTCACGCCAGATCCCTTGCTGGGTGCTGGGTCACACCGGATCCCACAGTGGGTCACGCCGGATCCTGCGCCGGGTGCTGGATCACACCAGATCCCGTGCTGGGTCACGCTGGATCCTGCATTTGCGCCCAGGTCAAGACTCCAGGGCACTGTTTTGCAGCCGAACATCTGTGTGTGTGTGTGTGTGTGTGTGTGTGTGTGTGTGTGTGTGTGTGTGGAGGGGTTCCCTGCTGCAGAGGACGGGAGGGGGTCTCCCTCTCCATGGCCAGGCAGCATGGGCCCGTGGGGCGGGCATCAGAGGCTTGCCCCCCCGCTCCGAAGGCTCCCTGTGCTCGCGATGATTGCGCTGAGAGGCCCCGGCTTGGTACTCTGACGTCTCTCTCTCCCCCCCAGGGAGTGACTGCAGCCCTCTGCTGGGGTGCAGGCCCAGTGCCCCCCATTGGGCAGCGTGGGTGCAGGCAGGCAAGGGCCACCGTTGTAGCTCAGCAAGAGACATAGTGACGAGCGGGGTCGTTTGGCTGCCCTGGCCCTGCCGTGCTCATGCCCGTGGCAAAGCCGCTGCTCCCCCAGACGGGCACCCGTGTCCCTGGCTGAGGCGGTGGTAGCTGCTGGAGGGGGCCGAGGTGGGAGGCAGGTGCCCCTGCGTCGTGCTGGCCGTGCCCTGTATCCCCAGGAGGCAGAGCCGGGTGGGCACGGAAATCGGGCTTCACGCTTGCTCCTACTCTCACCCCTTCCTCGCTGCTCCCCCCCGCCCTTCCCAACCCCCACAGTGGAAGACATTGCCTGGCGTAGGGCAGATGATGGCTTCCCAATAACACCCACCCCACTCCTCCTCCCCACCCATCCCTTCAGCAGTGACCCCCTGCATCCACCCCCGCAGCAATCCTCCATCTATCCCCCCCATCCGCTGTCCCCTTCCCCCCCGTCACCTCTCAGCATTCCCCGCACAACCCCTCTCAGCGATCCCCCCTCCCTCTCCCCCCGGCCCCCGAAATCCCTGGCCCCAGGACAGCCCCGCTGTTTCTCTGCCTGAGATGTTTATCCCTTTGTCTGTTTTTCAGATCTCCGAACTGGAGGGGAAGCTGCAGACCTTGAAAAATTCAAACCCAACTTAAAACAAACACAAACACGAAGCAATCGTTGGGGAGGAGGGACACTTTCCCCTTAACCCCCCCCCGCCCCCGTTTTGCCCCTGCCCCTCCCCCACCCTCCCACCCCTTTTGGCCTTCATAGACGGGAGAGGAAGGCACAAAAGCAAAACCGCTATGAAAGGAATAATAATGATCCCTCCTTCCCCCTGCCTTCCTTTGGGGGGAGAGAGAGAGGGGGGGAGGAGGGCTGGGGCCAGTGCGGGGTAGGGGGGCTCTGGGATTGGCTGGCTGGGTCCCGGCTGGCCTGGAGGGGGCAGTGTGGGGAATGTCTCTGGGACAGGGGACCCCTCATTAATTTCTGTTCCTCATGTGAGTCTCGTGTTAACTTGATGGACGTATTTTGGGGGAGGGGTTTGTTCTGCCTTGTATCCCCCCCCAACATCCACCCCCCCACCCCAAGGAGCCTTTCCAGCCAACCTCCCGGCTCGAGATCGGCACCCGCGCCGTGTCCTCCCGAGGCCTCCGGGGAAGGGCTGTGCGGGCAGCACCCCCCTGTGCAGAGTGGGGCGTTGGAGGGGGCCGGGCAAGCTGGCCCGAAGCTCACACCTTGGTGAAAGGACTCTCTTGTGGAGGCCGGATCTCTTCACTGGCCCATCCTTGGGGCAATCCGTCGCGCGCTGTGTTTCGTGCGCTGGTGGGAAGCGTGTCTGTGTTTGAGATCTCGGCCCAGTGCCAGGCAGGATCTGGGACCCAGGAAGGCAGACATGCCGCTGGCACTGCACAGGAGGCCCTGGGCAGCGCTGGCAGGGACGGGTTGTGCCTGTGGGTGACCCTTCCCCGCCCACTCCGGATAACGTCAGGGACCAGCGCCTTGGCCTCTCCTCTGCGAGTCCGTCCCGGAGGATTTCAGGGAATGACAGCGAGCGTTCGACTGAGCAAACACCTCCCCAGACAGCGTGGGGCGAGCCGGGGAGGGGGAGATCCTGGAACAGAGACACCTCCCGCCCCCCCCCACCCCGGCGAGCAGCCTGCCGGGGAAAGACTGTGGGCATCTGCCTCTTCCCCCGCGGCTGGATGGATACAGGGACGCACGGGCTGCGGGGTGGGACTTGCTCCTTCCCGGGCACAATGCCGGCGCTCGATGGGAGGAAAACCACGACGGGAAGTGGCCCTGGCCGAGACTCCTCAGCGCTTCGCTCCGCAGAGGCACCAGGGCCTGCGGGCTGGGGCTGGCTTCTAGCTGCATGATGAGCCGGCGGGAGGGGGCCCCTTTGCTCTAGAGGGGAGGGCGGACGTAGGTCTTGGCCACAGCAGAGGTCTGCCCCGAGGTGACTAAATGGGGTCAGACTCGGACTGGCGTCAAGCAGTGCACATGGGAATTGGCAAGCGCATGGCACGCACAGGGGCCTGGCACTGGTGCCCTTACACCCGTGCATGGGATGGGGCACTAGTGTGTTCACACGTGCATGGGATGGGGGCCCTGGTGCGCTCACACCCGTGCGTGGGATGGGGGCCCTGGTGAGCTCACACCCGTGCGTGGGATGGGCTCACTGGCGCGCTCACACCCGTGCGTGGGTTGGGGGCCCTGGAGCGCTCACACCCGTGCGTGGGTTGGGGGCCCTGGTGCGCTCACACCCGTGCGTGGGTTGGGGGCCCTGGTGAGCTCACACCCGTGCGTGGGTTGGGGGCCCTGGCGCGCTCACGCCCGTGCGTGGGATGGGGGCCCTGGTGAGCTCACACTCGTGTGTGGGATGGGCTCACTGGTGCGCTCACACCCGTGCGTGGGTTGGGGGCCCTGGTGAGCTCACACCTGTGCGTGGGATGGGGGCCCTGGTGAGCTCACACCCGTGCATGGGATGTGGGTCCTGGTGAGCTCACACCCGTGCGTGGGATGGGGGCCCTGTACGTGCGTGGATGGGCTCACTGGGGGGCGCTCACACCCATGCGTGGGTTGGGGGTCCCTGGTGAGCTCACACCCGTGCGTGGGATGGGGGCCCTGGTGAGCTCACACCCGTGTGATGGGCTCACGGGGGGCGCCACACCCGTGCGTGGGATGGGGCCCTGGTGAGCTCACACCCGTGCATGGGATGTGGGTCCTGGTGAGCTCACACCCGTGCGTGGGATGGGGGCCCTGGTGAGCTCACACCCATGCGTGGGATGTGGGTCCTGGTGAGCTCACACCCATGCGTGGGATGGGGGCCCTGGTGAGCTCACACCCGTGCGTGGGATGGGGGCCCTGGTGAGCTCACACCCGTGCGTGGGTTGGGGGCCCTGGTGAGCTCACACCCGTGCGTGGGATGGGGGCCCTGGTGCGCTCACACCCCTGCGCAGGGACCTGGCACCCCTGTAACCACCCCGCTGTCTGACCTAGTTTAGTTACCTCTGTGCAATTGCCTCAAGTCGCCAAGGCCTCAGGCTCAAGCCTCCTCCCTTCCTGTTCATTTGTCTTTCTTTCCATGCCCTCTCCTGCGGTGCCTCCTTTCCCGCCTCTGGCCAAACGGGCGCTTTTGGGGATGGGGGAGTCGGGGTGGAAGCCCCCAGCTCCCGTTTATTTCCAGGGAGAGGAGAGAAGAGGTAGGAACTTCCCCAAAGCCATGTGGAAAGTGAACCCTTCGGGCCCCGCTCTGAGCCGGTGAGCGGCCCCCCGCGTGCCCCATTTGGAGGGACGATGCTGCCGAGCTGGGCCCTGGCCCCGATCTCACGCCTGGCGGGGCGTAGCCAGTATAAGCGAGAGGCGTCCTGCGTCGTCAGCTCCCCCCTCTCCCCCCGGACAGGATTGCACGGGCACTCCCGGTAGACGTGTCTTCAGGCCGACGCAGCCCATCCCTCCCCTCGCGTTAAGGCCGAATGGGTTTTTATTTAAAGCGACAAGAAGAACAAAGGAAAATAAATACGTGTTCAAAACCAACCGATCGCTTTTAAAAATTGTAAATAATAAAAAAAAAAACGCAGTATTTATATGTGGCCGGGACAATTGTTTTCCTTTGTAAACTGGAGATTGCAAGGAGCTGGGGGGGGAGGTTTATCGACTCCTCACCCCCACACTGTCTAAGAAGGATCAACAGGGTCCAATCAAAGCCCCACCCTGGTTGCCCTTCTGGGTAGAAACCGGCACTCTTGCTGGCCAGCGCCCTTAAAGGCCGGGTCTCCGACAGTGACTGGATGGGGGGGCGTTGGGAGCCAGATCTCTGCCGGCTGGACTGGGCCGGGCTGGAGCTGGAAGGACCAGGGCACGCTGTGGATGGGCAGGCCAATGCAGAATAAGACCCACCCGCCAACCCCTCTCGGGAGTTTGTGCAAAGCAACTGGATGTCTGTGAAATGGACGCATTAAAAACCGGGAAGGCGGCGTGGGCCCAGAACAGAGGGAAAGCGGGTGGGGGTGGCAGACCGCTGGGAAATTGTCTTAAATTTTTATTTAATCTCCTTACACACGTATCAATGTGTATGTATATAATATATATATATATGGATGGATGGATTGTTTCTGGTTTTGTATTGCAATGTCCTCTCGTCGGATCGTATCAAATACAGGCCCTCATTGTCCCTTCGGCTCCGTTATTCAAATGGCTGATCTCATCGGGCACGGCCCTGCTGGCAGACCAGGTGCACTGCGGGTGACCAGATGTACCAATTTTATAGGGACAGTCCCGATTTGGGGGTCTTTTTCTTATATAGGCTCCTATTATCCCCCACACCCGTCCCGATTTTTCACATTTGCTGTCTGGTCACCCTAGGTCCACTCGCGGTGTGGGTGGGAGCGCCCCCGGGATCAAAGGGGGGGACTTGGGTCTGCACTCCAGCACCCCCTGGGGCTGACGGGAGGAGCGGCGTTCCGCCACCCGTGGCTGGTTGTGGGGTCTGAGGTGCGAACCTGGTGGGTTCGTTTGCAGGGGCCGGAGGAGGGAGAATCTACCAGGGCAGCTGTGTTCTGCATGGCGGCTTGAGCAGGACGAGTGTGGCTGGGGGTCGGATCGGTCAGGGGCTGCTGGTTTGACTCCGAGGTAGAAAACAACTAGGGGGTGTGTGTGTGTCTCTGCTCTATACCTATTGTGCCGGCAACAGATAGACACGCAACACACACCATCCCTATGCAGGATGTAGCCTGGGGAGTAACCTTTGCACTGTCCGACGGCACACATTTCCCCGGCGGCGTAAGGACTGTGTTCTGTGGAGCAGTGCTTCTCAACCGGGGCACGTGTACCCCTGGGGGGACGTAGGGGTCTTCCCGGGGGGCACGTCAACTCAGCCAGTTATTTGCCTAATTTTACAACAGGCTACATAAAAAGCACCGGCGACATCAGTAGAAACTAACATTTCATCCAGACGATGGCCAGTTTATACGGCTCTGTAGGCGATAACGCTGCGATGTAAGGATAAGAGCTATTTGCCAGCCGATTTGTTGTATAATTGTATGGTAAACATGAGAGAGGCTGCAGGTTTTCAGTATCAGCCTGGGGCTGTGTGACGAAGTGGGACTGTTCTTAATGTTTCCTCTGAATAGTGTGGGGGTGCCTCAGTTTCCCCTAGGCAGTTCTTAAGTATCTAGGGGGTGGGGTAAGGGTGTATGATCATTGCAGAGCCCTAGAGGGCAGGTGTGTGCAGGAGTCTGGACACAGAGAATGGCCAACTCCCTGTTTCCTGGCAACTGATGGCCTGGGCCCTTCCCCCCTGCAAGGTGAGAGCTGAAGGGTTGGAGAACAAAGGAATCAGGTGACCACCTGGCCCGGGAAAGGAACAAAGCCCAGAGGAGGAGGGGCTGGAGGGGTTTTCAGTTTGGGGCTGGCTGGGACATGGAGTGAGGTGCAGACATGGTTGTCTGGCTCACTGCCCCCCAAAATGGACCCAGCTGAGGGGTCCCGTTCTCTGCACCTGCAAGCTCTGTTTTAGACCATGTTCCTGTAGTCTAATAAACCTTCTGTTTTACTGGCTGGCTGAGAGTCACGTCTGACTGCGAAGTTGGGGGGCAGGACCCTCTGGCTTCCCCAGGAGCACCGCCTGAGCGGACTCGCTGGGGGAAAGCGCACGGAGGGGCAGAGGATGCTGAATGCTCCGAGGTCAGACCCAGGAAGGTGGAAGCTGTGTGAGCTGTGTGTCCTGAAGACAGGCTGCTCACAGAAAGGCGACTACCCCAGAGTCCTGACTGACTTCATGGGGAGCAGTTCCAGAGCATCGCCCAGGGACTCCGTGACAGGCTGTGACATTGGGTAAGTTTGTGGCTGATTTTGTGAGCCAGGCGGTTTTCAATTGGGGGTATGCAAGACAAAGCCGACTCCAGAAGTGGGGGGCGGTAGTCTGGAAAGGTCGAGAGCCACGGCTAGGGAGTATATTTCCCTCGTATTTTATGGCATATATTTCCATGTAAGAACTAGATACGTTCCTGGAGGATCGGTCCATCAACGGCTATTAGCCAGGATGGGAGGGAGGGTGTCCCTAGCCTCTGTTTGCCAGAAGCAGGGAATGAGCGACAGGGGATGGATCACTGGATGATTCCCTGGTCTGTTCACTCCCTCTGGGGCACCTGGCCCTGGCCGCTGTCGGAAGACAGGACACTGGGCCGGATGGACCTTCGGCCTGACCCAGTGTGGTTCTTACGTTCATAGTGTCCCAGAGAGTGTACACCGGGGGGTATATAGTCCTGTGATGTCTGGCCTGCATAGTCAAGTTTCAAAGCTGCATTAAGCAGCCCGAGAGTCAGGGTGCTGCAGCAGGGCAGGGGACGGTGTAAAGGTAGCCCAGAGAGGCAGAAGAAACACGCGGCTTTCCTTTGGTTTTTTAGTAGTTTACGTTTACGGGTTGGTTTTTTTTCTCTCTCTCTGCTGCTCCCTGGTTTCATACGTCCGGTTCCAAATGAGGCATGTGGTCGACCGGTCAGTTCGTAACTCGGGTGTTTGTAACTCGGAGCCGCTCCTGTATGTGTCAGTTCTACAGTTGATACTCCCCCATCCACACAAGTCCCCGGAGCCGTGTCACGAACAGCCCGGGTTAACTGTGGTGCACGGTCTGGGCTGGACGGTATCGGATTAAGGACAGCATGACGAATAGCCTCTTATTTCTCCTCCGTCCCCCAGTGAACCTGAACGGGGATTCAAAGGGCCGCTCCTGAGGGTGGTGTAACAAATCATCCCAGGGGACGGCAGGAAGGGAGAGAAGGCCTGGGCACTCCTCAGCAGGTTTGTGAGTGCCTTTAAGCTCTCGAAAACCCGGTGCTTGGTTCATTCTCCAGCAGTGCAGAAGATCAGAAATCCCAGAGACACCCCCCAAAATGGCCCTTCTCAGAAGCCTCTTAGCTCAGTGTTTCTCAACCTTTTTGATACCAGGGACCAGCTCGCTGCCTTCCTAAACTGAGCCAAGGGAGATCTCAGGGCGTGGTGCCGGTCCACGGACCGGTCGTTGAGGAACACTGCCTTCAATGATTCCAGCCAGAATCCGCCCCTTAAAATCGGATGCACCCCAGAGAGGGTGGAACGTGGCCAGCACGTCTCAGCATGGGAAGGAGAGGAATGGATTCCTACGGGCATGAACCAACCGCTCCTTGATGGGGGTCAGACGGATATTTCCCCTTGGACAGAGCCTATAACTGCCGGGTTCTTGCTCCTTCCTCTGAGGCAGCTGATGCTGGGTAATGTCAGATCCGAATGGTGGCAGGCATGGGCCGGTGGTGTGATCCAGTCCGGCAATGCCTGTGTTCCTAGGGAGAATCCGGGGACAGGGGGAAGGACAGGCCTGCAGGGTTTACATGGATCAGGGCCAGGAGAGAGAGAGGCCTTGACTGGTTTATCCCGCGCTCCTTGGCTGCCAGGTTCATGCTCCCCTTCTCGTGCTCTGCTGCGTCCACTGGCCCCCCTGGGGTTCCTTGCTTCTGCCTTTGGGAGCTGGATCTCAAAGGGTATGAGCTATTCATTCCTCCAGCACACTGGGGCCCCCAGCCGTGCACCCCACATGTGGAAGGGGGCAGGGGGGAAATTGATGCTGGTTTGCTCTGATCTTTTGCTTTTCTTTTTTAACGACTTCTTTGTTGGTCATTATTTAGTCTTGAACTAAACGCTGTGTTTGTGGGGCCTGGTAACACAGGTGTACGGGAGATCTTGCGGGGCGGGGGTCGTGTGTGTGATGCGGGGAGGCACCTGTGTATATGTTCGGGCAAGCGTGTGTGCATACCTCCATGGGTGCATTTGCCCATGTGTGTACATACGTGTGTGTAACGGCAGCCTGCCCCTTGACGGGCCCAGGAGGCCTTGGGCCAGCCAGCCCTAGGGAATCAGCCTGTGCCATAATTAACTGCCGCCCAGCTGAGGGGCCAGGACTAATGGGGTCAGGTGAGGCACCCCTGGGCCTCAGCAGAGAGACGGCAGTTGGGAGAGGACCCAGAGGGAGTATTTGGGCTCCTGTGGAAGGCCCCTGAGGTGGGGTCTGCTGGACAAACTGCGAAAGGGACTGCAGAGGAGCCAGCATGGGAGTCATTCTGCTACGCAGAGCAGGGGATGGCGTAAAGGTAGTCCAGAGGGGCTGAGAATCAAGTCCAGAGGCCAGGCTCCAGGTAGCCCAGAGGGGCTGAGAACCGAGTCCAGAGGCCGGGCTCCAGGTAGCTCAGAGGGGCTGAGAATCAAGTCCAGAGGCCAGGCTCCAGGTAGCCGAGAGGGGCTGAGAACCAAGTCCAGAGGCCAAGCTGCAGGTAGGCCTGGAAGGGACCTCGAGCTAGTCCCGTCCCCTGCAGTCAGGGCAGGACTAAGGATTAGACCATCCATACGTGGTGCTGTGAAGTGTTAGATCTGCCAGGGGGGGGAAGGGGGGGGGAAAGTTAATAGGGCACTGCCAGGAGCCGGCTGGGTTGGGCGGAAAACTCTTCCGAGGTGGGGTGTGTTTTGCATGCAGCAGCGAAAGAATGTGGGGTGAATGGGTTAACAGGGCACTGTTAGAAGGAAGCACACAGCACCGGCATTAGCGAAGCAAAATAACTCTCAGTGTTGCACAGGAAGAAGCATAAGCTCCGGGTTTGCCTCTTGCCCAAAGGGACCTGGGTTCAAGTCCTGACCAGAGGCGGCGAGTTATATGGGCCCCTGGTGCCCGTGCTCCACCAATATTCGGGAACGTGGGCCCGGCTCCACATTCCTGGGGATGTGGGGTCCAGAGCGGCCTGGGGGATTAGCAGGAGGCCTGGTACCGGCAGCAGCGAGCGACCCGGTCCCAGCCCACCCCGCTCCCCCTCTTCCTGCCCCTGCTCCGCGCCTGCCCTGCCCCCACTCCACCCCTTTCTCTAAGCCCCTGCCCCACCTCTTCCTGCCCCTACTCCACTCCCGTCCCTCCTCTGCCCCCTCCTCTGCCCCCTCCCCTCTCCCAAGTCCCTGGCCCTGCCCCGCCTCTTTCCAGCTTCCGCCCCAATGCTGGGACCCAGCGTGGCAGAACGGAGCAGGATAGGGCCAGGTTGCTCGCTGCTGCTCACCCCCAGGCTTCCCTGGACCCTGCATCTCCCTGAAGGGTGGGGCCCCCCAAAATGTGGGACCCAGGGCGGTTGCCTATGGATGGGATGGTTCTGCTTGGACGGCACCACCAAAAATTACACAAACCTGGCGCCCCTGGAACTGCATGAGGCTGGAGCTGAGCTGAGTCTGAGGGGTCTCAGTTCAGCCCCTCGGGTGTTTCACCACATCCCCCAGGTTCTTTGTATTACAACAGCACCACGAGCTGGGTGCTGTACAGAGATAAGGGTCGAGCCCCTGCCCCGGAGAGCTTGCGACCAAAACAGCCAAAGGGTGGGAGGGGAAACTAAGGCACAAAGAGGCGAAAGTGACTTGCCCAGGGTTATCCTGTAGCTCTGTGGAAGAGAGCCCAGCTCACCTGAGTCCCAGTTCAGTGCTCCACCCAAGTGGTTCTCAACCAGGGTCATCCCTGGGGGGGACACAGAGGTCTTCCAGGGGGTAGCTAGATACTTGCCTAGTTTTACAGTAGGCTACATAAAAAGCATGAGCAAAGTCAATACACATGAAAATTTCATCCAGACAATGAGTTGTTTCTATGGCTCTCTGAATGATACACTGAAATGTAAGGACAACAGTTACATTCCAGTCAATTTATTTGATAATTATATGGTAACAGTGTGGGGCTGAGACCCTTTTGTGTGTTTAGGTCTGATCTTGCAAGCAAGTCGTTTTTAAGGGAGGTGAAACTCGGGGGTAGGCAGGCCCAGTCAGACTCCTGCCAGGGGTCCAGCCCTCTGGGAAGGCTGAGAACCACTGCTCTACCCACTACGTCATTCTGCCTCCTGTCTGCCTGGGTGTCGCTGCTCATGCAAAGAGAGCCCCAGTCATGCCAGGGGCCTTCAGCGGCTAGCCGGGCCGGCAGTTGGCAGAGCGGTGCCTGGCACTGCCGGGGGTCTCGCGGAGACATTGCTCTTTGCTGGGCCGCAGGGAGGGCCAGGTGACATCGCTAGATCTTCACCGGAGGCTCGTTCTGAAGCACAGATGCTGGAACGAGGGGTACTGGGGGTGCGGCAACACCCCCTGCCTTGAAGTGGGTTCCATCATATACAAGAGATTACAGTTTGGTTCAATGGCTCTCAGCCCCCCCCCCCCCCATGCACATTGGGTCAGCCCCCCGTTCGGAAGCTGCCGTAACTAAATCGATGACCAAAAGGGAGAGAAAACGAGCTGGTGTGAGGAATTCTGGGCGTGCGACAGACCGGCGTGTGTCTGCGGGCATGGCTCTGTGCACGTGCGAGTGATTGCGTGTATCTTTGGGTGAGCGACTGTGTGGGAGTGAGCTACTGGACTCTGTGTGCAAGTGAGCCTGAGCAAGTGTGCGACCAGAACACACACACACACCCCGCCAGAATCTCAGCCAGCCGCCTGCCCCCTCAAGTTTCTTCTGACCTTCAAGCCGGACGATTGGTATGAGGATCGGGGGCTGATGAGGAGACAGCTCATGCTAGGCTGGGCCCCACCAGAGATCGGGGTAGTTAGGACACTCACGTCTCTTTGGGGCTGATGGAAACGCCGTCAGTTACGATCTTTGGGATGCTCCCATGAGTGGGAAACAAGCAGCGTAGGCCTGTTGTCTCCCCACCCAGGCTGCATGGTGGTGATGTGGCAGCGAGGAGACATGACCATTATTTATTATTATATATGGGGCATTTTGTTCTGCGAGCATCGCCCAGGGACTCCGTGACAGGGGGGTTTTGTTCTGCGTTCGTACAGCGCCTGACACAACA